AAAAAAAAAAAAAAAAAAAAAAAAAAAAAAGAAAATGCAAATAAAATGGGGATCTGTAGAAAAATAGCCTTGTACAGTAGCATAGTTAGAAAACACACGGTGCTTGCGCTTTCACGGGGCAAAAAATGAGGTATGAAATGTTCGGTTGAGGAAGTCGTATCATTTTCTGAGCGCCGCATTAACGATCCTTTCCCTCATTTGTCGACGTCGATTCTCCTCTTGCCGTATTAGCTCATCCTGATCAAAGCTCAGGCTTATCAAATTCTCATATTGATTTCCGACAATATTCACAGCCGAAGGTGCAACCTGAAATTTTATCCCAAATACCAGGAACAGCTGTGTCATGTACCAAGCATCTTTAACAGCAGACCTGTCAAATGCGTTACTGTCAGCTAATTTCATCGGCGGTTGCTTCGAATATTCTAGCCTCGGAACATGTCAGCAGAGCAGTATAAAACAGCAGCGTGCAACAGGATAGCTGATGTAGGTATGCGTTTTGTGCAATTCTGTCTAGCAGACGTCTGCTGTTAAAGATGTTCACTGCTTTGCTAATCGATGTGCATAGAAATAGTCGGAATATTCTGTTCGGTCAAAAAAACATATTTCTGCATGTGAAATCTAGGTGTATACGAAAAGCTGAATCTAAAATTCTCGGAGCGACATGTAAACAAGAAACATCCTCGTGAAATTTCGGCTATATGCCCTGTCTGGCCCGGAGTCGGGAAATTTTCCGCTACAGTAAACGCATTCGCACGTAAAACGTGGGCGCATATGGAAACTGGATGTAAAATTCTTTGGGCGATATGGGTTTGCAATATAGGTACGTCACACTTTTCCTAATTTTTACTTTTCCCAGTTTTTCTGGTTCCCGAGTTAGTATTTTTTAGGTCAAAATTTCACGTGCTCGTATGTGAGACCTAGGCGCACATGAAAGCTGAATTTGAGATGTTGCACATAGGCACTGAACACACTCGCAAAATTTCAGCATCCTAGCTTTTCCAGTCCACGACTTGATAATTTTCGAGCCGAAACTTTCCACGTGTAGGGCCTAGATATGCGTGAAGGTTGAATTTAAATCTGATGAAAAGGTGTCGTACGTGGGCAAGGGACACCCTCATCGAATTTCGGCTTCCTAAGTTAACACTTTTCTCATCAAAACTTTCACGCGATCGTACGGAAATTGAAGGCTGAATTATGCGAAGACTGAATTTAACTTTGCACGGTCGCATGCGGGGACGGGATATCCTCGTAAAATTCCAGCTTCCTAGCTTATCTGATCTTTCGGTTGAAAACCCAGACAAAATGCACTCCGACACAGACACACACACCACACTCACATGCACACATCACGCACATAAACACAGATTGGCAACGGTGTGACAATATGCATTTTGTGCAGCTGTTATACAGTGTAAAACGCATAACTGGGTTGTGAGGTTTTGTGATAAGCCCAAAAATGACTGATCTCTTCCACAAACCCTAAAAAAATAATTGGCCAACGCACAGGCTGCCCGTGCGAAGATGCGTTTTTTGCACTGCTCCCCGCAGATTTCTGTAGCTAACAGCACCGGCCTTTCCGGCAGATGCTTCTAGCTAAAAGAATTTCAGACTGGCCTCCAGAACTGTCAGGAAACATCCCTTCAAAATTCCAGTCTTTTAGCTTCTCACGTTCTCGAGTTAGCAACTCACCCAGAAGAAATATTCACGGGCCCGTGCGTAGGTACCACGTTTACCTGCCGGCAGGGTTTTGAACTCGT